TGATGCTTTATGGGCGTCAGTCGGATGTCTGGTTACTTTGTGGGGAAGTGAGCAGTAGGATTGTACTTTAAACAAAGCTCACTGTGTTGCTCTGTCTGTCTAATGTCTACTGTCTGTTTCACTGCTTCTACTTTTAGATTATCTACCTTCTCCCTCTTATGGATTTTACCATATTTATCTACTTCTGGTCAGCACTCACTTTTCAATTATTATTTTTTGAATTTACATTTCAACTGGTTTTCCTCGTCAGCCAAAAAAACATACAGATTTACTTCCTTTTATAGCAGCTTAACAAATGTCTGCCTCCACTGACGGGGATCTGGAAGCAGAGTTATTGTTGTCCAATAGAGAGATCCCCACAGCAAGTACTCTGCACCCTGGTTCAACCCAACTGTTAGCAGGGCCCTGCAAACACTGTTCAACATCCAGTACAGGGCATCCTAAAATAAAATAGCTTCATTACCAAAGAACACAAAGTCACTCAGATACAAGCCTTTCCATTGTTTTAAAATCTCAAACACTCGCAGGGTTTTTATTTCATTTTATATAGCTTATTTGGCAACATACATATAATCATCCACATACCTTGATGGTTTAAGTTATCCCTATAAACCCATTATGAGGATGTGACCCTGGACTCTAGGCCCCAGAACAACTTCAGCTGTAACACCCTCAAAGGTTTCAGAAGCAAAACATTCACGAAGTAGAAGTAAGGTGCAGTGGCGTAGCCAGGAAGGTTTTATACAAATGGCAAAGTGGGAACCAATGTGCACCGCTGAGGCCCCCTGAATCAGTTCAGTGCAAATCTACTCTTCGAACAGGAAAATAAACAAGCAGAACAATCATATTTTCCAAATGAAGACAAATTAGATTTTCCTAAAGCTCTTACTAATACAATAAACACATATATCTACACATCAATGGTCTCCAAATTTAAGATATTGTGAGCAATCTTTTAGCTTTGAGTTCCTGGGGTAGCATTTTATCTATTGCAATTATTTTCCTTCATTTCCTGAGAAATGGTCCACTATATGGTCCATTTATTAATAAATGTTCTACATGGTGATATACTGTACATACCTATATTGAATTGAGTTGGCTTATTTTATCTCTTACTACATAGAAGACTCCTAGATGACTTGCAGAGACAAAACTTTCTCCTCTTCCCCGTAAAACAAAAAAAGAGAGCATGGATTAATTCATTATCTAGAACAGGGGTCTTCAACATTTTCCAGGTGAAGGACCTCCAAACTGATGGTGAGATAGAGCGGGGACCCCCTAAATATATATATTGTATGAAATTGTGTTATATCAAACTGGTCCTATAGTCACTCTATTACATATTGAGTAATGTAAAGAAAGTAATTTCTGGGATTATTGAAGTATTTCTGATTCTGATTCCTCGTTGATGGGACAGGTGTTGTGAATGAAACTGTGCCCAGCTTGAAAGAGCTCCTGTGTGTCGCTGAATGTGTGCATCGATGACTGAAAGACATCTTCTGCTTCCATTTATTTGTTTACTACAGTGTGTTGCATTCATGTTAATGTGTATTTAAAGACATTTCAATTAGTGGAAGAAATTGCAGGGGAGAATATAAAAAAAAAAGTCTAATCAACCTAAACTTTCGCGACCCCAATGCAGTAACTCTGTGGACCCCCTAGGGGTCAGGGACCCCCTGTTGAAGACCTCCGATCAAGAACGTTCAACTTGAGAGTCTTACAGCTGCCATTTTGTTTTAGAGGGGAGCTGTTTGTGAATTATGTCTGCATGGGATCACCTGGTAAGGATGGCCACGGGGGTGCCCAATTACCCCCCCAAATTACCATCAGAGGATGAATATTCTTGTTGAATGGCACCAAATCCATCAATGTAATAACAAACTCTCTTCTGTAGTTAGAGCTCAACTCTTAGAGACATGAAGAGCATTTCTCTACATTTAACAATCCAATATTTCTAAATGCCCCCCCCCCCCCCCCACACACACACGGAACAGTCCATTAGGTTTAAAGCTGATACCATCACCTCTAAATGGAAATGCAATGCCTATGTGTGCAAAACACACATGGATACACTATCTTGATCAATAGGTGGATTGTTATTTCATCTCCCTACACTGAACATCAATAGCTTGGCTGTGATTAAAAATATCCTGTGCCTTTGAAAGAGGTTAAAGTCAATAACTCACACTGTGCATTGAGTGATACAGTACGAGAGGGAGAAACCAAATGCAGAAGCAAGTATTACTATGAGGTGCAATGGACATGGTTTCCTGATGTGATGTAAAGATGAGTTGGAATGGGAACTTACTGTGGATACACAATGATTTGGCAGTGAACAGGAAGGAACTGAGGAACCCAGTTTCAGGGTAATCAGCTGACTAAACAGGGAACCTAAAGGAGAAGGCAGAGGGGGACACGTACCAAAGAGAAAGGCTAAACAAGGTCGCATGACTGTTTCCGATGTTTCTGAAGCGTTTTTAGCTTATCTCACTGTGGTAAAAGTGGCCTAACTGCAGATTAAATGAAGCTGTTGAAACCAATTAATTCTGACAGATAGAAAAAAGCACAAGTTTGAGAGTTTTGCAGAAGTTTGCCCCTTTTGGCGACAAGTTGACATGACACTACTGTCAGCCTGGCTGTGACTGCTGAGACTGCACAGGTCTTTTCTTTATAGGTGAAACATCTTCTGAAGTGAGAAAATTATAAATACTAAAATGATGGTCAATGGTAGCATAGATTCAGCTATTCTCTAAGTAAAATCCAATGTGTGCAAAGTCTCTAAAAGACGGAGGGTGTTCACATTTTATTTTTTTTATCATCTCACCCTGGCAAAACATAAGATTCCAGTTCAGAAATACACCACTGGCTTTAAGCATCGACTTCTCCCCTTCTCTCTAATAAACCTAAATCTAACAACAAATCTGTGGAGAAAGCTAAAGATTAGGATAATGACAACAAGGTCTTCTAAAGGAAAAAATCTGGAGCCCATTACAACAAAAGATGGGATGGTTGCTTTAATGCCAATTAAGATCCCTAATTTTTGAGAAAAATATTAATTATTTTCAACATGCCATCATTAATCTTATATGTCACACAAACCAAAAAAAAATCTGTTTCCTTTAGAGCTGATACCATTTTTACATTGTTTATCATTTCACAGTGGACCTATCTCAGGTTCAATAAAATATTTTCCAAATCTAACTGCCAGAAGGTTAAATAAGTTTAATAAGTTTTAAATCAAACGTAACTCAGTCAAGATAAATTAAAATAAAAGGAGGACTTGCTACAAAACAAAGGATCCAAGGAACAATACTGTACCATGTTAAATCCTTGGGAGAAAATATTTTAAAAGTTGATTTAAGGAAATTTCAAGCTTCCTTTCTTGAAGATTAAACCAATTCAGAATAATAATACTTCCTCGATGTAGGGTCTTGAATTATTTGTTTTACAAAGTGGATTAAACGGATGGGAACATTTATTTTCTTGAAGCTTGTCAGTCGAATGCTGTGATAATGTCATATGGGGTAAATTTCCTGCTCAGGTATGGGAAACTTTTACGTGAAAAAAAATCTTTGTAGTTTTGTATTTTTTTTCAGAATCTCAAGGAAGCTATTCTACTTAAAGCTGTAACAACTTGTACATTTTGTCCTGTGATGAAGTTTAAGGGAAGTAAAAGATCTTTTTTTCTCAAGGATTTATTTTCTGTTTCATTCTTAACATTTTCACAGGACTGCTAATACAGAAAGATGATAACAGATTAGCACTGATATGCTGATAAGTATAGCTTTTCCACCATGTGTTTCTGATCTGAGACCAAATTTTTCCCACAGAGACAAACTTATCACACCTACTGCTGCTGCCTCTCATTTCACACATTCATTTAGGAGTTTTCTTGTTTTTTGCCTGACTGGTTTTAGGAGTTAAATTGAGCATCTAGCATAGAGGACACTTTTGTCACACACACAAGGCTGCAGCTGCTCCGCTTTCACTCATCTTTACTTCGGTTTTTAAAAAACAGGATTGAATGAACCCGTGTTTTAAACCTTTGAAAGGGGTGGAAGTATACATCACTTAGCACTTTAAAATATTCAAAAATCAAACTCTAAAATAGAATGCTGCATGTTCAAGTTTGTTTAGGATGGATGGATAAATTCAATTAATGACAGAGCACAGCTCTCTGCAGAATGCATATGGATATAGTTGTGTATCTTTGCCATCTAAAGCTGGCAAACTCAAACCTTACAAAAAATAAAAGCAAACATATTGTCTGCCATATGCTGACAACTTTAAGCTGATTATTAATGAGAATTTTACCACTAAAGTTGCAGCAAAACACAGATAAGATGTTGGATGTAACACATCTCTCTGTCACGGTTGGTCCCTGCGTTGATAATTAACCTCACCCCATTGCTCCAAAATTCAGACAGAACTGATGTTATTCTTTGGATTAGGCACATAATCCCCAATTAGCGTGTTACAAATTGAACTTGCCTGCCGTGGGATTTAGAAAAGGCATAAGAAGGACTAACGTAGAACTGACATGATGGAATTTTGTATGACGGACTTGGCTGGCAGCCTTTTCTATTAGCCTTTAAATCTGTGAGACATACATCAAATAACAGCACCAAAGGATTGAGTGCAATAACCAAACTGTATTATCTTATAAATACATTGAAAAGAAAAACTTTACCAACTTTGAAAATGAATCAATTGTTAAAATCTTGCTTGAGATATTTCACATCCTGTAAGATAATCATACCTATTAGGGATGAAGATGAGTTGCAGGTTTGAACATTATGCATAAGATGTGGAGTATAAACTTAGCCACAGCTGGAATCATCTGCTCCCTGTGCCGTCCTCTGATTGATCATTAATATCACCTTGTCCAACAAAGCTCCATCTTAGTTTGCACTTCTACCTCGTCAGAAGATTTGGGATTAATGTTTACATTTTGCAGTGTGTGTGCATGGACGACACATTTTGTAAAGCATTCTTCTGACCTTGCGTTCTTTGTCTCCGTACTCCAGACCCAGCGTGTCCATGGCGCGGACGATGGCAGCCAGAGATTGGATGGTGTTGCTGTAGACGACAGGCTTGTACTGCTTTACGTCATCACCAGAGAAGCCGTCCTCATGGATAATCCTTGAGAGAGACACGCATGACTTAGTTTTTTTTGTTTTTATGCATGGGGGAATGCTTTTTTTTTTTTTTTTTTTTTTTTAAATGCTAGGGGAAGAGGGACATGACAAAAAACTGCTGATTGGTGGAGAGACTATAACAAAAAGATAAAAAAAAAAAAAGGGATGCTGGGACATAAGCAATGGTTTATTACCAGTGGGCCTAGCTGACATTTAGACACACAGTGCGTCCTGCTGTTTCAAATGCCATGATGTCTTTCACGCCTGTGAACACACAGACAGAAATGCAGCCCAGCTGACGGACACACAGTTAGCCAGACGGACAGACAATCAGACAAAGTCAAACAAAGCAAACAACAATGAGGAGATGGGCAGTAGAGAACAAAGCATGGGACACCAGGAAACTTCCAGCTGATATAAAGAGACGGAAGCAGGTTGGATGAAGGCTGTGACCCAATCAGGACAGACAGAGTCCCTGCACATGAAGAGACTCCTACACTACAACCATCAAACTAGGATGCATTTCTTCAGTAAGCCTGATCCATCTCTAAAAACTGACAGTAGCTGTCCTTTTTATAGGGTGCTGCAAGAATGATCCAATATTTCACGAAATGTCACTATAGATCTCTTATTACCCTACTGACACGCTGCAGAAATGAGCAGCAGGGATAAACAAATGCTGTTGGTTATGAGCAACATTTCAACGGGAGGTGACACTTCCGAGTACTACTATAGCTACGAAGGGTCGATATAGAAACCGCAGATTTTTTAAAACCAAAATTGTGAGTTCTGTTTTATTTAGACTTTATTTTCTGTGTGGCGGACAACCCAAAGGATATTACCAACACCTAAACGGCAGGAGTGAGAACGCCAATTTAAAACAACATGGCCAAAAATGTGGTCTTTTTTTAAAATGCAAATAGATTGTAATTGCAATTTATTTTCCAACCTCGTGATAGACTGGGGAAAAGTGGTTCATAATATAAAATATGATGTTACAAATAAAAATAGAAAAAGCAGCACCCATTTAACTTGTGCAAAATACACAAATGGACACATTTCTAGATTTTTACAGGGCCCCTCTAACATATCAACATGCTTTGACTTGAATTATTCTCTTTTGTCTTCCTTTCTATTAGGATTATTTTTATACTGTTGTTTTATGGTTGTAAGTCTTGTACAGCTTCTAATGTGTTCCTCCAGAATTTATCTGTTTAAGGTTCCGTTCATTTTCAGACCTTCACCATCTTCCCAACCCCTTCTATGGGAAGAGAAGAAGGAACAGTCTCTGTGTCGCTTCAAAAATGATGTATTCAACAAGAAGGGTAATCACCACCAAACACAATCTCCTACATATAAAAAAAACTTTTTATTTAACCATATCACATTTTACAAGTTAAATGGATGGTGGATGGTGGTTAGCTACTAATTGGATGGCTCACTTTTAGCAAATGCTTTCTTCTTCTTCTCAATCATTTGGGCAAATAAAGCGAATAGCTCATAATTGCCTCTTGGGATCTCTGCTGCTCCCCCAGGGCTACCATGCCTCTATGCCAAATTGTTTTTTATTGTTTGGTGTGTTCACCAACGTTCCCTAATAAACCTGCCAGGCCTTCACAGAACAGCTGCATCAATTGGCGTTTCAATTTGTAACTTCAGAGCAAAGGGGCCGCATACACATTCACAAGACACTTCCTTGAACTCTCCATATATTTTTCTATGATTTATAGAAAAAAAGTATAAAGACTGCTGCAACAAGTCACTGACTAGTTGCTGAAATTTCACAGAAAAGTTCAGATTTTTTTACTTCAGTGGTTACTGCTCTGCTCTCTCGACTCAGTGCCACTGTTTTACAGCAAGCCGTTTCGGTAAAGCAGAAAGAACTGAGAGTGACCGGTCTAAACGGGCGGAATTCCCCTATGGACGCTTCTTACTCCTACCTGCGCGGTAGAGACTGACATTTTTTCGGGAATCCCATGGGTCACGGGATTCCCGTGGGATTCCCGTGGGATGGGAGTCAGTATTAGTAACGATCACGGGATTGGGACGGTACAGGATTAAACATTAACGGGAGCAGACGGGAGCGGGAGCAAACCAATAGTAACTTCCGCTCTGAGTTTTTCACCCGCGCTCAAAAACAACAAGAATGGGAGTGGTGCGGGAGCGGGAGTCATCTGAATGGGAGCGGGATGGGAGTGGGAGTAATTTCACCAGGAGTGGGACGGGACAGGATTTAGTGAAAATCCACTCCCGTGTCAGTCTCTACTGCGCGGTTTGTGTAGGGTCACCACTTTAATCCACCGCTCTTGCCCCGGGCACCACATCAGGTTTGTCTAATATTAGCCTCTACAGCAGGGGTCTTCAATTCAAGTCCTCAAGGCCACGTGTCCTGCAGCACTGAGACTTGTCTCTGCTTCAGGCACTCTGGGGAATGAAACTGTGTACCAAGGTCAGTCATTTGATTCAGGTGTGTTGGACCAGAGACCAGGGCTAAAACAATTAATAAAATTAATCGTGATTAATCGATTATTGAAATAATGGTCACCTAATTTTGTAATCGATTAATTATTAACTGGAGAATAGAGACTTTAAAATATGACTTAAGCTGACAGAGCAAATGACTTAGAGCAGTAATTATGTCAAAATTGTAAAATAATATATAAACATTTTGCATTTAAGATGAAAACACTTTCTCTATGAACATGTTCTATCCAGAACTCCTTAAGTGGAAAGGTTTTAGTTTCACCAGGTTTAGTTTCATAAAAATTTCTTCTTTAAGGAACCTTTTACTATCCGATTATTAAAAATAATTGAAAGATTTATTAATTTGCTAAATAATTAGGCCCGAGCAGCAAAGCGCTGCGAAGGCCTATTGTATTTGTTAGTTGCATCCCTAACAGAGACACACCTAAAAGTTCCAGGACACCAGAACTCTAGATCGGAGTTGAAGATCCCAGCTTGCCATGATCAAAATATGGAAAGATGAAAGAGACTTTTTAATTTAAAACTAAAATAGATGCTTTACCTGTTACTGCAAGTTTATTCCAAAACATTGTCAAATCACATGATTAAAATGTATCCTTCTATCCTATAAAAGGGTTGCATGGATGCATTATGCAGTAATAGAGCATTTTTCAAAAAGTTCTGCAAACATTTTTACAAAGAAAAAAACAGGATATTATAAAAGCAGTCAATGCCAACTCCAGTACCAATGCTGTCTCCAGTTAAAACTCTGTTAAAATGTCCCAATTCTGCCCAATAAACTGCAAAAGTTTAGAAGAAAATTTTCAGCAGCTAAAAACACCTTCCTGCTGTCTTGATGTTTTTTAACCCATAGGTTTTATTAACATTGTTTTGCCTTTTTTAGAGTCTGATTTGATTGAAATCATAAACACATCCCTTATGTCGATAGTTTGCCCCGAACCTCAAAAACAGCAATTATCAAACCATTACTAATCAAGAGAAGCATGGACAAATTGGTCCTGCAAAACAGACCCATCTCAAACCTCCCGTTCATCAGTAAGATTATTGAAAAAGTGGTGCTTCAATAGTTAAATGCCTTCTCAACATCACAAGCTGCTTTGATGTCTTCCAGTCAGGTTGATTTTATTAGAGCGTTTGGAAAACTGGGTCAGCCTTTATGGTATAGCACTGGACTGGTTTAAATCCCACCTAAAGGACAGAAACCTATATGTGTCATTAGCGAACTTTAAATCAGAGACCAGAAAAATCACATGCGGGGTTCCTCAAGGCCTCATTCTGGGGTCCCTCCTATTCAACATCTACTGTACATGTTCCTCTGGCTCAGATTATAGCAAACAACCACATCAGTTATCATAACAATGCAGATCACACACATCTTTAAATCACAATGTAACCAGGTGACTAGAAACTAGAGTTGTCACGATACTAAACTTTTCAACTCGATACCGATACTAAGGAAAATATTCAATACTCGATACCATTTTCGATACCACAAGGATAAAAACTCCAAATTTCAACAGAAATATTTTGATTAATAATTAAAATACAATAATAAACAATAAGAACAATGTTTTGAGGTTGTTTGCTGTGCACAGTATTAAGCAAGCTTGATAAAAAACTTACAAAATTAAAACTAAGTGTTCCTTCCTTGGCTATGCTTTGCACACATAGCAATGACACTAAAAGTCTGAAACTGAAAAGTGCTCAGAATTATTCCATCACACAGTGTTCAGAAAGTGCATTTTCCTCTATTCTGCACTTTAGATGAATGACTGCTTAGGTGCCACTGGTGGTGGCACTGTATCGATACTTTTAAAAATGAGTATTGTATCCGGATACAACGTTTCAGTATCGATACTTTTTTGAGTATCGATACTTTTGACAACCCTACTAGGAACCCCTCAGAGCTTTGGTTAGATGCTAAGAACAGATCAATATGTGGATGCACCATTATTTTCTACAACTGAATGAAAACAAAACTGAGGTAATAATCTGTGGACCAAAGAAATAGAGATCCAGAGTTAGCTCACAGCTTCAGCTACTACAGCTAGAAATCACGGATTATGGCCAAAATTTTGGTGTCACGATGGACTCAGACCTGAACCTTCAGAGGCATATAAAGGCAGTTACCAGGTCAGCCATTTATCACCTGCTAAACATTTCCAGGATAAAAGGACTAATGTCCATCTAGAAAAACTCATTCAGGCATGTATCTTAGGTAGTAGAATTGACTGCTGCAACAGTGTCTTCATAGGTTTGCCTAAAAAGACCATCTGACAGCTAAAAAAAGTAAATGACTTGCCTCAACATTAATCTGGAACCATGAAGGCACAGTGCTGGGGACAGCATTGTCCCAGTGCTGTCCTCTGGCAGCATAATGTTTCAGATCAATCAGGCATCCTGCCAGTCAGAGCATTCCTCCCTTTCACTTACATCATAGCATGGCTTCAGTCCACCAGGTCCATTTCTCCTCAGTGTTTTTATATACATGTTTAAATTGGCTAACAAAAATTTAAGTAA